AGTGTCGGCGCAGTCTGGGTTGGGCCTAACTCCGTGATGTCCGGGTTTATCTTTCTTTTGTTACCTGCGCCCCCGCCTCTCCGGGCCTGCCGGGAGGACGGCAGAGAGTCGGAGGTCGGGGCGCGGGGACTGTCAGTTCCCACGAGACGCAGCTCCAACCTGGGGACCCCCAGCTCGCACGGAGCTGGAGTCTCGGCGCCGACCCCCTCGGCGTCAGGCCCCAGAACTGACGCAAAGTTCGGAGCCAGGTTCTGCAGCGCGGGACCCGGAGGCTGGCGGGGCTCCCGGCTCCCCGCCGGCAGGTGCTGGAGCGCGGAGGGCGGGGCCACGCACCCAGCGGGTGGGTGCGCAGCCCGCGTCTCGCCGTGAGCGGGTCCCGAGGCTCCCGTTGCTCTCAAGCGCTTCCCCACCGCGTCCCGCGCATTCACTCTCTCCCGCCCCCTCGCAGCCCCCGCGACCCGGGCGTCCCAGGGACGGGTTCAGTGAAAACACTCAACTAAAAAGCGGGCCCGCAGACCTGAGCCTTCGGGTTTGGGCTCTTCCCGGCTACTTGTAAGGGAAATGGGTACACGAGAGGCTCAGAAACTGCGAGGTGGAGAGGGGGACACCCATTCCCTTGCGGGTTTGCGGAAGATGAGGGTGCGTCCCGTTCCACCAGGGTACCCCTTTGGCCCATTTCTCTCCGAGGACACTTCCAGCGCTCTTCTGCCGCGCCTCCTCCTCCAGCGGCGCTTTCTAAGCCAGAGGGGCCTAGGCCGCGCGGGGCTGCGCTAGCAGTGAACCGCCCACATCCCGAGCGGCCTGGGTGGGCGCCGAGCCCCGACGTCCCCTCCTCACTACTCCCCTTTCCTGCCCCGGCCGGGAGCCCGCGGTCGTGGGGTGGCCATGGGCCTTGGGACGAGGAGGGTCCCGCGGGAGAGGTGCTGGGACCCAGACGCTGGGAGCCAGGGACTAACCCCCGCAGCCCCGTGGGCCCCGCAGGAGTCGGGAGGGGTGAGGCTGAGCTTCCGCGGGGCCCCGTCGGGGTCGCAGCGGTTCTCGGTGCCCGGGCCCCGACGCCTGTCCCTAGCGCCCCAGGGCGGTAGAGAGTCGGGAGCGAGCGGCGGGGAGAGATTGGAATGTACCCGCCGGGGCGCGGAGGGTTGGGAGCCCACCCTTCCGACGGGCGGCGGGAGGAGGAGAGTGTGGCCCGAAGTCCCCAGCAGGGACCTGAAAAGGGCAGTTAGATCTTCTTGTCTGAGCGAGATGCTCAGAGAATCTCGGCTTTTGCAATTTCTGGTAAGGGTATCAGTGGAGGCGAGGAAACTTCGCTTGACCCAGCTGCTTGGGAAAAAAAAAGTTTGAGGAGACACAAGTCCTCCTCCCGTAAGAGTTAGAAAACCTTGGACATCGTGGGCCCCTCAGGCCGCCGCTCCCAACCCTTTCTCGAGATAGAAACCCAAGGTCCCAGAACCTCGCGGAGGGAGAGGAGTTCCTATGTGCGCAGCCAAAGCCGGCCCGCTTTCCCTTTCTAAATGTGACTTTCTCCCGCCCTTAAAGTTCAGTCACCTGCTTAAAGCACCTCGAGGCTTCTAGTGCAAGCCTTCTCAAGATATCTCCGCCCACGAGGATTTCGCTGTTCTTTTAAATGTAAAGCGACGTTTATTCTGGAATGAAGGAATCCTCGCTGTGTTTCTAGATTGAATTAAAAACTGCCATAAACTTGAGAACTTTCTAGAAAGTGGAAGATTTACCAGGAAGCAATTTCAGCCAAGCACCATTCTCACCTTCGCGGTCATACACTTTTGTTAAGGGCGTCAGTTATTCGAGTATTTAGCAGGAATTGCAAGTAAAGGTAGCTCGCAAAGTCACATCCCCAAGAGGACCAGCCTCACCGGGACAAGAACCTTCCCTGGAGGCCAGTGACTAATGTTTCCTCTCAATAGATCAAGAAACTCCAAGCAACCGGTTTCCAAATAATTTTTCTGCTTGAGTTCCTGTCCTGTTCTTAAAGGAATCCTTTCTCCCAGTCTCCCTAGCCCAAGGGAGGTTTTGTAACCCAGAGAAGAGCTCAGTCTACCTAGGGCAACTCCCCAACTCTGGAAGCAATGTCTCTTTTCTGCTTCAGCTGGATAATTCAGGATAGAATTTCGTGGGCTGAAGGTTCCTTTTAGTGCAGTTTCCCAGGAAAATGGACTTCTGAAGAGCTCTTTAATTTGACCACAGCTGGGATTCATCACAGCAGCACAACCTCAAAATTCACCTCTCCCCTGGTGTGAGGAGTGTGGCTTTACTCCTTTCCAGCACCCAATTTAGAGAAGGGGTGAAGCCCACCACTAAGCCTGTGGTCAGGGCTCCAGTCTTTCCCCAAGACCAGGCCTTTGGAAACAGGATCCAAAGTAGCAAGTAGCTCAGGGGAAAGTCATTTCCCTGATTGATGAAACTTCTCCCTCCCCTCCCCTTTTTAAATAATAAACTCACTGGGAAAGGCTGGAGGGCTGCCTTGTGTTGGTTTCAAATAAATCCTCAACAGCTCTTTCCTCACCCAGAGAAATGAATCACCGTTGGGAAACAGACGATTATTCCCCCATTTGTCTGCTGAAAACCGGGGGAAATAAGCACCCTCCACTGTAGACCCTCACTTTGGTCTTTCTCCCTGGCAGTAGGGGAGTTTGAGGGGGTGGGGGAGATGGAGGAGGATGAGTTAAATAAAACCAGGGTCCACTGAGGTGCCCTCCCAAGGGCAAGTGGTGGGGAGCCCGGGGAGGAAAGGGCAGATAATTCCTAGATGTGCTATCCATGCTGGATCCTGGAGAGAGACAGGTCTATCGCTCTGCAGTGGAAACCACAGGCTTCCTCTTCTTGAAGAGGAGTTTAAGCCTCAACCAACTGTTGGTGAAGTTACATCTAATCCAGAGGCCAATTCCAGGGTGGTATATTTCAATCAGATTTCCATTTTCCTTAGTAAGAAATACAGGCTTGTGCTGTTGGGGTTATCATCACTAGGATGTGATTTCTTGTCCTGTGTGAACAAATAAACAAAACCTTCCTGCTGGGTCACTTTTGCTCATACAAACTATATGGAACTGTTATGGAACTGGGGGTGGGGGATGAAGAGAGAAAAGTAATTGATTGAAAGGACCCCTGTTTTAGCCATCATTTATATAGCAGATGTCCAATATATTCCGCTAATCAGACTTGCAATCTAAGGTAGGAAAGAAGGGAGAATTCCTGCTATAAGTCTTTGAGATGTTGTGACTTAGGAGCTGTTTGGCCTCATCCAAGCTCACCTTACAAAGCAGAGTGGACCTCCCTTTCTCTGTGGGTCACACTGCCAACAGGGCAGGCAGAAGAGTGGGTATCTGATTATTTTCTAGGACCCCTCTTTGTTGACTTTAAAAACATATACTGGATTTTAACCTGTTTATTCTTTTTTTAAAGGCCACATGGTCAATTTAAAGTGAAAAGAAGTTAACTTACTGCTTCATTCTTGTCTGTTGTCAACACAGCCGGTGCAGCCACCACTCTGCCTCTCATTTCCTGTCACTTTGAGTTTTCAGATTACTTTTTAAAAATCTCAGTTGCTGAGTTTATGAGCGTCTGATGACTGCCTAGAAATAAGGAGCTCAAATATCATAAGACTACCAATGTAGACAATGCCATTTGGAAGACATCTGGTTGTAATAATGAACACCAATTTATCTGACCTTTTTACCTGTGAATGACCAGAGAAAACTCTTTGTGTCTGCCCACCCGTCCAAATCTCTCACTCACTGCCAGATACACCTTACTGGGTCCTTGCATTTTTTTACCCACTCCCCCCCAACTTCAAAAATTTTAGGCAAAGGCAAAGCCAGGATTTAAAGGTTCTTTTTTATTTGAAATCTCATCCAGAAACACTGGTTATTAATAAATATATCATAGTTATCAAGAATATATAAAAAATAAAGACAGGTATTGTCTTTGAGGCCCTAACAAAATATTTCAAGCAAATGTTCAGGAAAATAAAAACAGCACCCCTCCCCAAACCACGATAACTTTTCAAAGCTGATGATAGAGAGAGCCGACCCCGCATGCAGAATCACTGAGCAAGTGGGGGATGGGGCAAGCTAGTAGAGGGAGCCCAAGCTCTGGCCATAGCTGGCCCCTAAAACAGCCTAGGGATGGAGTTTGGGAATGGAGTTCGAAGGGGGTGGTAGTGTGGGGGGAAGAAGCGCTTGTGCATGAGTTTGGGTCTTTGCACTCTGCCCCCCTTTTTTCATTTCAAACAACTACAAGCAGATATATGGATACTTCAGAGAGTTCACTAATAAATCCTTGTTACAAGGAAAATGGCATCAAAGCCTGCACAACATGTTTATATAAGATTCATTTAGAAGCGTGCATGCATTCTTTTGACCTACACTGCGTCTTAAGGAAAACCCACATTAAGAGATGTCAGGCCCTGGACCGGAGTTGAGATTCAAAACTTGGGTCTTGATCAATCTCTCTCTCTTTCTCTCTCTCTCTCTCATTGTCTCTAGAAAAACAGCTGTGGAGAGGATAGTGACAATCGTAACCGCATCTATCTCAAAGGAAATATTTACATTTGTTTTTGCAAAAAAGGGATGTTGTCTTTTCCAAGGTGAGAACGCAGAGCCAGAGAAAGCCAACTCTAAAGTCCCTTCGCAAGTTTTTAACCACACCGATCCCGTCTTTATACAACAAATGCAGTTTTGACAAGAGCATATGTAAGTGAGAAATACTGGCGCGGCATGGGGAAAAGAAGCATGCATGCAAAACACACGACGTCTGGTTCGAGTGTCCCTTCGTTACCACCTAGAAATTGCAGTTTGGTTTTGGTCCTTTCCCTCCGGGGGTCTAGAAGGGTCTGAGATCTCTCACGCGGCGTGGGAGGCCGCAGGACCCCGCGCTCACCCTCCCGCCGGCCGAGTGCTCAGCCACCCTCTTCCCTCCCGGCCCAGCACCGCGGTCCCTCCCGCCTCTCTCCCCTCATCCTCGGCAGCCGGGCCTTGCGCTGCTCACTTGAGCAAGTCCTTGGACTCGGCCGACAGCCGAGCCATGTTGGCGGTGGAGAGAGCGGAAAGGTGCGGCGGCGGCGGCATCTGGCAGATGGTGCAGGGGCAGGGCAGCCCGGCCCAGTGCTGGAAGCCGCTGCCCAGCTGCAGCGCCGGCGGCGTGGAGGGCGCCTTGAGCAGCGAGTGGGGAGGTCGAATAGTGCCGATGGCCGGCAGCGAGGCGGCGGACAGCGGGGACGAGGCGTTGCCGGACGAGAGCGCGCCGCCCAGGATGGGGTGCACCGGGTGCACGGCGTTGGCGGCGTGTGCTGGGTGGCCGGCGGAGTGGCCCACGGTCCCGCAGTGGAAGGCAGAGTGGTGGCCCCCGTAGATCTCGCCAACCAACCTCTTCATCTCCTCCAGGGAGCTGGTGAGCATGAGGATGTAGTTTCTGGCCAGCAGCAGAGTGGCGATCTTGGAGAGCTTGCGCACCGAGGGCCCGTGCGCGTAGGGCATGACCTCGCGCAGCCCGTCCATGGCTAGGTTTAGGTCGTGCATCCGCTTGCGCTCGCGGCCGTTGATCTTCAGCCGTAACTGCTGTAGGTCCTGCTCCGACAGCTGCTTCTTGATTTTGTACTTGCTGCTTTCGCCCGTGGCCTTGGCGCCAGCCCGCGAGAGGCTTTCCCCGGGCATCTTCTGCACCATGTCGCCCTGCGTGGAGGAGACCGAGTTGAGACGGCTCTCCTGGTGGTGGTGGTGGCGGTGGTGGTGTTCCCTCAGATACATCTCATCCATGTCCGGCGATGAAGCTCTGCTGGAGACAGAGCTCGAATCAGAATTCATTTTATTACAGGGGATGCGGCCCTACCCTGGGGAGGCTTTAGGTGGGAAATTAAAGAAAATCTTGAATTTAAAAAAATCTGCGCAGCCCAGCGACCCACTTCTCAGCGGCAAGACGTGAGAAGAAAAGCTGAGGCACTGCCTATCCTCGCCTTTCTCCCTCCCCACTCCCTTCTCTCTGGTTCCGCTGTTTCCTGGACAGCGGGTTGGTGTATGCTTGGACTAACCTCACGCTGAAAAAGAGGGGCTTTTATAGAGCTGCGCCGGAGAAAAGAGACAAAAGGAACCCTCCTATCTATCCTGGGCTGGTTAGGATGACGTGCCATCATTCAGGGCGGTGCGCTTTGCTGTCCCATTTAGCAAGGATTCCTATTCATATTCATTGTGGGGCCGCCCTGGGACACCTCTGCTCAGAACCGCTAGGAGCCCCAAGGCACAAAACCCTCTGATTGACACACTCACCGCTCCAGCTCGCTCCTTCCTGATTTTTTTTTAACTTTACTCCCCCTCCCCCCCAATTTCCCTAACCAAATCACACCTAAGGAACCGACGGACCGGAAGGAAAAGGGGCCGGGCAGTTGTCGGAGATTCCTCTGGGTTTGGAGAGAGGAATTGAAACCTTCTCTTTTCTTTGTAGCAACTCCCAAGTTTTGGGAAATGTGGGCAAAAGAAGTCCTATGGAACTGTTTCAAGGATAGAGATGCGGTCAGAGGGCAGGTTCCCAGCGTGACGGGGGGTGGGAGGAAGAGGGGGACTGCGTGTGAATGGGCACTGAACTGGTTTGTATTGGGTTTCTTTTCCTAAACCCTGACATTGTGTTCATTTTGTTCATTAGGCCCTTCTAGTGTGGTTTCAATGGGATGTCCGTATCTGGTGAAGGGTTTGCCTCTGACACAGTTGTGGGGATGGGTCTCTTGTTTTTGTTTCTGCTTTTTTGTTTGTTTGCTTGTTTGTTTTTGGTCCTCTCGTTTAAATAGATTACTGAAAGAATTTGCTTTGCACAATTCTCTAACTTCTTAGACCTGGATCTGAGGGGGGGAAAAACAGAGCAAAACAAACAAACAAACAAAAAATCCAACCCTGGCGATCCGAGAAGAGCAACTTGAGAAGGGGAGGAGAGGAAAGGAAACCGAGGGTGCAGGGAGAGAATGGAAAGGTTCCCAAGAACTCCAGAGAGATTGCTCCCGCTGGGGCTACCCCGCAGCCCTCAGACCCTGGCGCTCACAGAGGCTGCTGGGGCGGTCCCTGCCGCTAGCCTCGGGTCACTGTGCTGGCGCACCGGGGGAGCATCTGCAGCTCGGCGCCACTGGGGGCGGGTGGGTCCACCGGGTGGGGCTGTCCCACTCGGGCGGGCCGGGGAAAGCGGGCGCTCAGGGTCGATTAAGAAACGACATGTGTGTGCGTGTGTGTGTCTGTGTGTGTCTGTGTGTGTGTTCCGCAGCGAAAAGATCTGGAAAGCCCCTTAGGCGTGTGCGCGTGGGCACTGCGGTCAAGTGCACCGTGGATTCTGGGGATAAAGGAGGCCTGGAGTTTGGAACCTTCGGTTCCAGTGCGGCGGAGGTCGGCGCGGATCTTTCTTCCCCCTTGCTGTGTTTTTGTCAGTCGGGACTAAATAAGCAGTGTGAGGGGCGGGAAAGCAGAAACCCCCGGGAGCCCCTGGGCGGTCTCTAGAAGAGCCTGGGCACCGCCACGATCTGGGCTCGGAGGAAGCAGAGACAGATGCTAGGTTGTGGCTGAACGGATGGAAAGTGAGAAACCGAAGCAGTCCCGGAATCTGGGTCGGTTAGGGCCTCGGATTGCGCGGCAGTCAGTACAGATCTCTAAGACTCCAGGTAGAGGAGGCCTCACTTTCCATCGACACAAGTGGAGGGATCTGCGGAAGAGCGTTGTATGCCCAAGCCCGGAGTCTGCACGCTCCGCGAGGCTGTGCCTCTTTGACAGTCTCCCCTCGAAAGCTGCGCTGGCAATACCAGTCGGATGGGGAGACGCAACATTGGAACGGATGCTTTTCTACACGGAACTTTGCTTCTCTGTAGGAAAAGAAAATGGCCAAGAGTCCCTCCTCAAGGCCAGGACCTTGGTGCCCTTGAAGATTGGACCCAAGCCTCCTATCCTCCTACCGCTTCCACCTCCGGAGAAGGAAAATTGATCAAAACGAAGAATCCAAGAGATTCGATTCGATGTGGAAAGATTGATGTCCAAACGCGCACCTAATATCCAAGCCAAAGAAATGTTTCTTAATTCGCCAGACGCATCCATTTGAGCTCAGACAGCGACAAACCCCGAACTACATATGAGAAAAAGGGTTCCAGAACATCTGCATATATTCGGACACAGTCCCAGGTGATGGAGGGAGGCTGGGTGGAGAGGCGTGGTCCAGACTACCGCCCTCTGCGCTTCTCTGCTGATCCCACCCGGCGGCGGGGGAGCCCGGGGAGCGCTACACTGGAGGACAAGCTGTTTCCCACCCTTTTGGGCCAGTGCACAGGCCCGGCCCCCGCCGTCCTCCTGTACCACCTTCCTGACCCTTGGGCATCGATTTCGTTCTCTCTCATGCCCAAACTGAGAATGCTGTACCTCAGTTTTGATTTTGGGAAGTAGCAAAGTCTAGTTTGAGTGAAGGATTGCAAATGAAGTAGAAAAAAATCAAGCTGCTAAAAGGTATTTTACCTTTAAAAAAAATCCCAATGTTCTCAGTGGACAATATGAAATAAGGTGTAAAATTTTCTCAAATTAATAGAGAAGGTTGCAGGGAGGGAAATAGGGAAGCAGTCCTTGAAATGCAAGCTGAACAACTCACTTTCGGGGCTGGAAAGACAAAGCCCAGGGTTCTGGGAGTCCGAACCAGAAGCAGCTCTTCCTTGGCACCGCCTTTCCACCGAGTGGGGGACGCAGGCCGCTGTGACCAGCTCCGAGGGGGGCCGCGGTAGGCGCGGAAGGGGTGCTGGGCCTCTGCCTACATGGCCCAGACCACCTCCACCCTTAACGGATTTTTAGCTCCGGTAAAGTGAAGGTAGATCTGCTCGACGTGGCACATCTGCCGTGTCCAGGCCAAGGGCCCTCGGTCATAGTCCAGGACGCGGCGCGCCCTCTCCTCCCTGCTTTTCTGATAGGCCTCTACACGTGAGTGTGAGATGGTCCAAGATCCAAGGCCCAAGTCAGGCAAGCACTTCTGGTGAGGACTTCCAGGGGCCCAGACTCTCCTAGGAGGCTTGTTCCCCATTCCCTACCTCTTGGAGGGATCAACAGCAAGAGGAGGGAGAAGGAGTAAAGGAGCCACAACTTTGCTCTCCATAAAATGGGTTGGTACTGAACGCGGCCCAAGAGACAGAGGCGCCCCACCAGGCTGTGCAGGCGCTGCTCCCCCGCGCTTGCCTAGCAGAGTCGCTTTGGACTCTGGGGTCCCCGACAAATGCCGCTCAGCCCCCAGCAGGAGCAGGCAGGGAACTTAGAAGAGCGAGCTGCCCGAGGTCCTTCGAAAAGCTGTTTCTGCCGTCGCCCACGCCCGGCGTCAGCAGAGGGGAAAAGTAAGGGAGCCGGCGCCGGGCGGAGGCTGCCGCAGCCCCTTCGAGGAGCCTCAGCCGGAGACGCACCGTGACCTTGGCCCTGGCCAGGGGCCCATTCAGAGGGCTTCAGAGAAGCAAGGAGCGGGAACGAGCGACCCGGCGGCTGCGCGGGGCCGCGCTCTCCCGGGCCACACCCCGCGCCCTCGCAGCTGGCGGGCGCAGGGGGCGGCGCGGAGGCGGGGGTCGTCCCCCCGCAACAGGTGCGTCCCAAGGCCCGCCGGCCGCTTCCCGCCACTCGGTCTTGCTCTGGGCAGAGCCTGAGAGTTTCTCAGTCTTTGTACTACCCGGGCCAGGGGCGGGTGGGCGCGGGGACCCGGTTAGAGAGCCGCGTAGCCTTCCCCGCGCGCCCCGGGCGCACGGCCTCGGCACTGCACCCCTAGCTGCGGAGGACCGCGCGCTCCAGAGGTTTCCCGGCTCTTCCTGTCCCCCCGCGCCCAACCCAGACCTCGCGGGGAGCAGCTCTTACCCTAAGCCCGGTGCGTGCGGCTCGGCGCCGGCGCCCACCGCTCCGCAGCTCCAGCCACCGAGCTCGTCTCCGGAAGCTGCCCGCTCTGCCCGAGGCCGCGGCGATCTGGGCTCAGGAGGGAACAACCCTCCACCCCCTCGTCAGAGTCCGGAGGCAAGTGGTCGCGTTGGCTGACCCGCCGGCAGGCCACTGCCAGGAGCGGGTCAATCAGCAGCGTCCAGGGGCTCCCCTCGCTCGGAAAGCCTCAAACTTGACCCGTAGAAACTTTGGCCGAGCCCGAACGGCGGGAGGCTGCGCTGTGGGCTTCACCTTTAAACCCAATCCCCCTTCCAAAACAAAAAAGATAAAAGGGAAACCCAAATATCTCTAAGGATGTTCCGTCACGTGCAACCGGAGGGATAGACTAAAAACTAGCTGACCACTGAGGAACTTCTCAAAAAGTAGTTTCTTTCTTTGTCGGAGTAAAACAATCACTTCACCACACTAGCAGTGGGGGGCGGATCATCGAAGCTGTTAGGTTGATCAAAGAAGCCGTTAGAGAGAGGGAGAGAGAGAGAGAGAGAGAGAGAAACAAGTTTTATAAAAATTAAATGTCAACATAAATCGCAGCCAGGCAGGGATTCTCTCTTGCAGCGGCGCATCCCGGGTGCTGGAGTGTGGCGAGAGTATTGAGCTCCGAGACCTGCTGTTGGAGATGCCAAAATTGAAAGTTCAACAATTAAGTAGATGCTAGAAGGGCCAGAGGGGATGGAGCCGAGCCGACCGACTAAAATAAGTTTTTTGGGTTTCCCCATATTTTACATAATATCTTGAACATTCGCTCATCTGTCTAGTATTTCTCCTCATCTTTAAAAAAATCTGGCTTTCATACAGGAAAAAGAGCAGAAGTTGAAGGACAGCAGAAATTTATGAGGCGATAGTAACTGCTCTTTGCAACGTTGGATGTGAGATTGGAGGATGCAAGGAAGTCC